ACCTTGAAAATTGAAAAAACTAGTAATTTTTTTTTGTTTTTTCGACTTTTCATATACACGTTTATATTCTTTAAGCAGATTTCTTAAAAATCCTAGTTCTTCGAGGGAAGATTCGACTCTGAATTTTCCTGTGCTTTATAGCGAATAACAGTTTGCATTGCATTAAATACTTCAGCAGCTGTTACGGGTGGATCAGGTACTTCATCTTCACCTTCAATTTCTTGGCTGACTGATTCTTCATTTTCATCAGCTTGAACCATAGAAATGATCCCCTCGTCATCGAGTATTTCTTCTGTAGCAACAGGTTCATCAATCACTTGTAGATATGTTGTTATGATTTGAGCTGTCTCTGGCGCATATGAACTTTCATCTAGTAATTTAGCAACTATTTCCTCAATTTCATTATTTTCTAATAGAATATCGCTTTCGGGTTGATCTACAGTATCCATATCTGGCTCATTTGTGTTCGGGAGAATTCTTGTCTTGTTCCAGCAGTTTTGAATGGTTGTATTACTTACATTGTCCCATGATTCTGTGATAAAATCAATTGCTTTCTTAATAGTTATTTTTTTTCTACAAGAAAAAAAAAAAAAAAATTAGTCCAAACAATAGCAACAAACCATACCGTATTTTTGCGAATAATTATACGAACTTATCTATATTAGCATTGGATTCGAATTGCTTGAGAACATATTCACAGTATAGGCGCTTATATTTTGACTTAAATGATTTGATTATACCGGCGTCCATTGGTTGGATGTGCGCAGTTGTGTGAGGTGGAAGATAATGCAGGGTAATATTTGTAAGCTTCAACGTCTTGGAATGTTCTTTATTTTGTCTGTGAGAAGAATTGGTATTGGTTCTTGTTCTTCCGCGTGTGCTTCCGCGAGGCCTTCCGCATGTGCTTCCGCGAGGCCTTCCGCATGTGCTTCCACGTGGTCTTCCGCATGTGCTTCCGCGTTGTCCTTTTTGTTGCTTTTCAAGTGATCTTTCAGTTTCATCATTGTCTCTGGAGCCAGGGGAATCATTCATTAAGTCATCATTTTCAGAACTTGACTGATAATCATCGTTTTCTACGTTATTGACACTAAGTGTCTTATTCGTATTATTAGGTAATTCGGGTGAACTATGGGATGGCGCATTGTCTACAAGCAGCAAGATTTTCCTATTTTGAATGCGAAACCCAGAATCAATATAGCGTAACCATTTTTCCCAAATATCCGATCTCATCCATGCTCTTTCATTATTCCTATAGGTGACTGGAAGCTGTGACAATTTTATACCACTGAAACTTCGTGGCTTTTTCGAATGACCGATGACCAGGGGCCGAAGTTTGTGTGAACCAGTTGCATTTGCAGCAAGTAGAACTGTAACCCGTGATTTATCCTGTAATAACACATTATCATAAGTAGAATTAATTAGAGATTAAAAATGAATTTTTTATTTTTTTATTTTTTTTTTTTTTAACCTGTTTTGACCCAGCAACAGGCCGCTTCGCTAATGTTTGGTTTGGTAACATTCGGTAAAACAACCCTGTTTCATCAGCATTGTATACATCTTCCAACTCGTATTGAGAAAGGAGATTCTGAAGCTTTATTCTTTCATTTGGCAGGGATTCCAAAGGTGCACTTGCAGCTTCACCGTGAAGTTTATACCGACGCAAAGAATTTCATTTTTTATAATTAGTTATCCACCCATTCGAAAACTTTGTTCATCTTCTGAAATGCCAAGGAGTCTTCCAAATTCACGACTCTTTGTTTTTACCAATTCATCTGTAAGAACTAGACCTGCAGCCGAAACTTGGCCAACCCAAATATTCATTGCTTTCTCAATTAAAGGGTACTTTGGTCCTCTGTTTTTATACCGATTTTGTGTTGCAGTATTTTCTTCAATGTTCAGATACTGATCTTTTTTTTTTAAAATTTTAGAAACGGTTGTTCGATCTAAATTTAATTCAGGATATCTTCTCTTAAATTCATCCGCAATATCATGGTGTTTTGCAGATAGGTTCTTAACATGGTATTCACAAATTTCTTTGCGTTGGGCATTATTTAGTCGGCTACGTGTTTTTTTAGGCGCTGGACTATGAAGCATAATGAAAAAAAATGGTTATCGCTTGAGATAGGATTCAGTTAGACGTTTCTATTAACTTTTAAATCCACTCTTTATAATTATTTAGGTGCATATTCATTTTACCGCTGTTTTCGAATTAGTGCGATAAGCAGATTTTGTGAATCCTATGAATCCTGCATTTTACCATTGTTAAAACAATGGTAAAATGCAGAATTCATAGGATTCACAAAATCCACTTATCGCACTAATTCAAAAACAGCGATAAAAAGATTCAAAAATTCAAGAGAATAAGTGCATTCATGCACATAATTCTTAAGAATATTCTCACATCAATATGCGATGGGAGTATTTTCATTTGATTTTTATTTTCGCTCCTGAACATTTGATTTTTATTTAATCTCCCCATTTTCTTATTTCTTTATTTTAGATTTTCACAAGCAACGCTTCAGCCCATTCCGGGACCTTGCCCACCTCTTATCTTGCTGGTTCGCTATATATATTTTAATCAGATATTGTAATCAGAGATGCTATTAAACTGTTTGGGCAAAGAATTGATAGTGTTATTTGAAGATGGGAAAATGCGCATTTTATAATAATATGCGCATGAATGCACATGTTATAAAAGCGCATGATATCGCATGATGTAACTTTTTTTGAATTTATATCGGATATTTGCTCAAATTTTTGCCCCGACCCTTCTCATCTTTTATGTTCATTCATTTTCTTTTCGGATCATTTACATTCCTATTCCTTAATTTCGGTCGGCATTATACAATCTGGCCTAAATTATATATACTGTACTTTATATAAAATTTTGATGAGATAAATGCGCATGATTCTGAATCATGCGCATTAATGCGCATGATCGAGGAACCATGAAACCCATCTCTAGTATTATTATTTCCCTTTATATTTTTTTATTCCTTGTTTATTTATACTATTATTCTCTGATTAGCCCTAATTATTACCAGCTATTCAAACAATGTTACCATCTATTCAAACAATGTTACTGTCTATTCAAACAATGTTACCGTATATTCAAACAATGTTACCGTATATTCAAACAATGTTACCGTATATTGAGCCTAGTGTTACGGGGTGAAATGTACGGTTTTGTAGAAATATGATAATAATATGATAAGGCAATTCTCAGAGGCATGACAATGGTGATTTGGGAAAAGTTTAAGGAATATATTTATAACCTGTAGGTTCTATTAAGTATTTAATTTGATTTAATTGTTCCGAAGTAACTTATTCTTTACAACAACGCAAAGTAGGCTTTTTTATAAACATTAGAATGAAAAAGGCTTTGGAATTTACTTTGAAGAATACAGCATACGTTATCGACTAATCAGAGAATTCATGGATTATCATGTTGAAGTCGTACGTATATGTTGGTGTTTGCAGCGTCTGAATAATTATACTAACTTTATTGAGTATTTTCACAAGGGAAATCAGGGTAACTAAGGTAAATTTGGTACGTAGATACGCATGTCGCAAAGTGGGAACTAGTTCCGGGTCCAATATGAGTCGAGACAAAAAACTAAGCCAAGCTTCTAATAGTCGACCGAAGTGTTGAAAGACATGATCGGATAATTATGACTATTAGAACTCTAGATAATGTCATGAGCTCTGATATATTCACAGGTTTATACCAATTAGTCTTTTACTAATCAAGGATAATTTGGTTGATCCATACTCTTATCGCTGTTTTCAAATTAGCGCGATAAATGGATTTTGTGAACCCTACGAATACTGCATTTTACAATGGCAATATGCAGGATTCGTAGGGTTTACAAAATTCGCTTATCACACTAATTCGAAAACGATGATAATGATTTATGAAATTTAAGAAATCAAAGAGATTTAATGGTTGTACAACTCTTACAGGATCATCCCAAAACTCCGGGTTGGAATTCTTCGAAATGGGACGGTATAAGCGATACTGGTCAAGTTTCTATAGTAAAATTATCCGCTGGGCATTTGCTTATGAATAGGTATGACTTTATTTCTCCCATATCATTGCTAATTGCCAGGTAGGATAATCAATAAAAATCTTCGGGTGAGGTTAATTGGATTTTTACAAAGTGTTTATAGATTAAAAAAATGGTGTTATTTTTTGAAGCTGTTAGAGATCCAATCTGGATAAATTCGTCATCCATTTATCTGTATCTGAGTTATCCAACAGGCCAAATATCCGGATAATCCGACAGATATTCGGATAATTATTCGGATATCAATAGTCAAAGGAAGAAGTTTGTCTGATTGGCTGATGTAAATCAATTGTCCGGGTAACTTATTTATTGTTATACAGTACTTCTTTAGAACTGAACGTTTCACTAATAAAAAATCACCACAAAAGCCATTTCCAGCTTTGAACGAACGCTAATTTTCACTATACAAAAGAATCTTACTCCTTGTGAACTTTGCTTAGAAGACAAAAATACTGTCGCCTATTGGACCGTACAAAGTTATACTGTAGAGTAAGGTAATTGGAAATATTTTTTTGCTTAAACCGTTTATTATGTTAGATTCAAATAAACTTGAATAAGTCCAAGCTTTTAATAGCAAGAGATCTGGGTTTAATGTTTAGATATGGTCGGTTTTTGCAATGTATTGGGGTTTTTTAACTGTAAATTTAGTTAATGTCCAGTATTGTGTAAATTTTCTGAGAAGCTCGAGTTTATTAATAATAAATATCGTATTTCTACTTTACACATATCTTTATATTCTCTAAATATGTGATAAAATATTGTGTTTATTTATTATTTTGTAAGTTTTTTTAAATGGAGCTGTCTTTCATTTCTAGTATATAGTATTAAAGCGACGGATTTTTAAAAATTATGTAATTTGATTGGTTAATTATCACGGGTAGATTTACAAAAATTATCAGACAAATTAATAGATATCCGGTTAAATTTTGGATCGGATATGGATAGCAGATAGTCAAATGACGGTTAACGGTTTGGAACTCTTGAAGCTGTAATTTTTTGTGACTATATTGAGGTAATTTAATAAGGTTGGTTATAAAAATTGATGTGATAGTGACTATAGTGGATTTGTGACTATATCGAGACTAATACAATTCAAATTAGGTTTGTAAAAAAAAAAAAGTGATTATAATGAGGTTGTGACTATAACGAGGGTGACTATAATGAGGTCTGACTGTACTTCTAATTTTACTTACAATATCTCATATTGTACAAAATTTTTACATTGGAAAAAAGCCTACTAGATTCCAACTCACTTTATATCTAATACACCACTTTATCTCTCTTCACTTCAGAATTATAAAAAAAACAGAACTATATCTACTATTAGCTGTCTTGTGGCTTTGCTAACTACTTACATTCTAAATCTAATATCTGTCTTCCACTAGAATGACTTCTTTAAAAATAGATATTTGGTTTACTATATAAATTATATATAGCATATCTATTAACTATATTCTATTTATCCAAATCTAGGTAAGTTTTAACTACTCTAGTAGGTTTAGATTGCAGATAATTTTGTCTAAGCTTTTATTTTTGCATATAATTTATATTTATTTATTAGTATACAAATTAAGTTTTTATATAGCTTTATGTAATTACTTATATAAATTATTAAATAAAGATATGAGCAAGAC